TTAAATATATTATATATTTTTATATATATGTATACATATGTAAAATATGTCAAATATATTAAAATTTGTAACATTTTTGAAAAAATTTTACACAGGCGACTAATAATCTCCTATTTACTAGTGATTCGGTACGTTACTGAGCCTACATTGAATGCGCATGCGCCAGAAATCCGTCCCATCTAACAACACTGACTCCTAACGCTCGTATTCTTTCCAATTCTTTGAAATATAAAAATGTTTAATAATATGATTTTAAATTGAATCACAAAATGTGCTTTGTTATTAATCACAATAAAAGAAATTGATGTATATTTGATACACTCTGCTATCGAGAATTGTAACTCGCAGATATCGATCTTGATATCGATGTGGTTGCCATTGCATCGATATTATTAATTTCGTTAATACACACGTTGTAAACATCAAGCAAGTAGTAGACGTTATTTTCCTTTTCCTCAACGTATATTCTCGCATAATCAAACACAGATAGGCTCTGCTAACAAGGTTATGGGCCCAGAGCAAAGACGTAGACCACCAAAAAGTGAGAAAAATATAGACTATCAAGTAAGAGAGTATACATAACCTAGTACCTCGTGGAAACTTCTCGAAGCGTGAACAAATTTTAACACAGAGGAAGTAAATAAGTAGAATGGCTTCATCATCATCGCAAATTGTCGATCGCATCGATAAGCTAAATGGTGCAAATTATCGGGCATGGAAATCTAATATGAAGATGACGTTAATACAACGAGAGTTGTGGAAGCATATAACCGGCGAAGCTGTTCTGCCGGCCGAACCCACACCGGAAGAAGAAGAGCGCTTTAAGAATAAAGAAAATAAAGCCCTAGCAACAATTGCTCTCGGCGTGGAACCGGAACACCAAATCCATATACCGGACTGCGACAAGGCGTCTGATGCATGGGAAGCATTACAAAGGATATTTGAACCGAAGTCACGAGCAAGAATCCTACAATTGAAGAAGCAGATGCTATCAATAAAATTAGAACCCAACGAGACAATGAATTCATACTTGGCAAGGCTGAAGACGTGTAGCGACAGCTTAAAAGAGGTAGGATATGAATTCAGAGACGATGACTTAGCCTATGCTATATTATCAGGTCTCCCAGATACATATGATGGAATGGTAATGGCCCTGGCAAATTTGGATGATGAAAAATTCAAATCAACCGAAATTAAAGAGATACTGATGAATGAGTACGAACGTCGAATCCTAAAAGAAGACATGCAAACAGAGGACCAACCAAAGGAGGCATATAATCAAGTGAAAGAACAATGTAAGGAAGAAAAAAGAAAATGTTTTAAATGTAATAAAATAGGACATTTAGCGAATAATTTTAATTCAAAATCGGTTAACGTGAAAGGAAACAAAAAGCGTTGGACATATAATGCGCATAAGAATAGCGTACTGTTATTAGAAGTAAATAATACTCTGTTAGACGATTCGTGGCTAATAGACAGCGGAGCGACTCATCATGTATGTAAACATAAAGAATGGTTTAACGAATATAAACCAATTGCTAATGAAATAATCTATTCCTCAGATAACAACTCAAACGATACTTTAAAAGCTATAGGCGTAGGTAATATAAAGATACAAACTTATGTCGGTAATAGAAAATTCAACTTAACATTACTTAATGTAATACAATATCAATAATAAAGGGCACAGAACCATTATAATATATATGTATGTAATAAAATAATTTAAATACAATTTAATACAAAAATCAATACAAAAATCAATACAAAAATCATTTGCATTTGGAAATCAAAGACGCATACTGTTACTTGAACTATTAGAAATGATATTTTTGATATCTTTTTTATGATTCATAACATGTTGCCAACTCCCATAGCTGGGGAATTTTTTAAATATTTAGACTACATTAATAGTTCTACGTTTTATATACAGACAAATAGGATTGAAAAAAAGTTATATTGGTTGAGGGAGAAAGAACTAAAAATCAGTAAATCATTGATAAAACCAATTGCTTACAATTGTTCTTTCGATTGTAACTCAAGAATTAGTACTATTTCCAAGATTGTACCTGATAAAGATTCGAGTCTACATACTGAGAGAATATATATTACAGCGGAAGATTTTGGTGATACAGTCCCTCTAAACATCTTAAATGAAAAGTGGTTTATTAATTTGAGCGGCAGCCATATTCCTGATGAAGTAAAATGCTTATTACAACTGGG